CGTACAGGTACTCATGTACATGTACATACCAACAGGAGCACATGAACTGAACTGCCCTATTGATGGGTGGAGGAACTGGGTTGAGTACTTTAATAGTTTATTGATAAAATGAAGTAAATTTTGATTGTAGATTTTGAAGCTTAATTTGCTAAAATTTTTACTCTACCAAACTTTGTTTGATCAAAAAAATTATCAATTATTATTATTATTATTATTATTATTATTATTATTATTATTATTATTATTATTATTATTATTCATTCATTCATTCATTCATTGATTAGGTGACTCAGTTAAAGTCTTCTTCTGGATTGGATTTAAATAAATTCCTCAGCAGTTCTCCCCCAGACTCCAGTACTGCCCCATCAGTACCTGCTACTGGTCCATCCTCCAATATATCAGCAGTACTAGCACTCACATCTCTAATAAAACAACAACAAAGTCTATCACCACAACATCAAAACTCATCCCCTCAGAAAAACCACACCCCTTTACCAGGAGGTGTGTCTCTCTCTAGCCCATCGTCCCAGGATCCTGTGAGTCTTCAAGCCTTGGTCTCCATGGCTAATATGAGGTCTCCTCTTGGTCCCTCTCCTGATAAGGTTTCTGTCCCTACTCTCATGTTAACAGTCTCACCCTCGTCTCAGGCTAAGACCCCTACTAGTGTGACCACGCCCATATTGACCACGCCTACTAGTGGTGACACGCCCACTCCAGTGATGCAGCGGTCTAGTCCTAAGAAGACTGGCTCACTGTCCTTGTTTTATAGAAAAGTAAGTTAGTGTCTAATTAATTTAGTTGAATTTTGCAAAGTGCTAAATGACCAGATTTTGAGTAACTTTAAAAATTCATTAAAAATTCAATTTTGATCAGAATTAGCTCAAACTTTCTACACAACATAAGAACATGTATATGCATCAGGAAAAATTATAAAAATGGAAAATCCTGTACTTTTTACTTTTGGCAAAATTTGGCCCATGACCCTTTACTATAGTACAGGGACTTTGGCCCAATTTTTTAGCAACTTTAAAAAATTGTAAAAAATCTAATTTTCATGCTTCAGATAAACCCTGACTAGTACATGTACATGTTATACTGGAGTGAGCTCATGTGGTCTATTGTACTCATTTATTCATTGAAGTATATTCTCTCTTCATTCCTTACAGGTGTATCAAATGTCATATTTACGTATTAAAGACCTTTGTGAGAGACTGAGACTGGAACATGACACAATACAAAAGTATAATAATAATAACTTTAATAATAATTCCTCTCTCTCTCTCTCTCTCCCTTCCTCTCCCCCTCTCTCTCCCTCTCTCTCCCCCCCCTCTCTCTCTCCCTCTCTCTCCCTCTCTCTCTCTCCCTCTCTCTCCCTCTCTCTCTCTCTCTCTCCTGATAGAGTGTGGACTTGTTTTGAACATTGTCTGGTGTGTTTTCCTGACATGATGAAGGACAGGAATATTGACCAACTGATAATGTGCTCCATTTATATTGTAGCTAAGGTAATTAATAATAATAATAATAATAATAATAATAATAATAATATATCACTTTAATCAGGAGCCCATAAAAGAAAAAGGGAAGGGTAGGAGCGCGCAACACCCACGCATTTAATTAAAATCACTGTAGCCTGCATAGCTTAATGAGTTTACTATTTTT